AATACCCGAAAACTCTGACTTCACTTTTTTGAAAAATCAAATATCTTTTCTAGAATTATGAATAACATGAATGGATTGAAATATTTAATTAAACTGTCTGAAAATAAACCTTTATTTCGGTGCAATATTGAAACTAGCTTGAATTCTTCATAGCCTCTGAATAGTGGGTGACCCAACGGGTCACAGGTGGTCTAGTTATATAAAAAACTCCTTGCAATCGACGGTAAATTACTGTAATTTATAGGGTACAAATTACATTAAAGCTAGATACACATTGCTCTATTTCATATTCGATAGATTATTTACTATAACTTCCAAGAAGGACGCTTTTCAGTTTCACCCGACATTTATTAAAAATCTCTGAACTTATAAAAGAAAACAAAAAGATAAATCATGGAACAGAACGAACCTGCTATTTAAGTTCAGCTTGACGTCTTCTTTGCCTTGGAATGTCACCTGTGGATGAAAAAATAGGTTAACACGCAAATCTGTGGTATCCATTTGTTTGGTTATCATAATACGTGAAAACTAAATAATACACAACTAGCACAAAATACCCCGCAGATCACCTACTAATTCTGCCCCTACCTCTTTGGCATCGAAGAAGAAGAAAACTCATCAGAATGGATGAGAAGAATGATGCTGCTTTTTAATGTGATTTGCATTTCGGACCAACCCGCGAACCACTACTCAACACTATATATATAAATAAATATATGAAACTATTTCAATTACTCAAATACTTTATATAATACTAAATATAAGGTCTAATATATCGTTTAAGTCACCACTGTTACTAATTTACACTATTTTCCACCCCTCATCAGTTATAAGCCTAGTCTTCTTTTCCGATTTGCCCTTTCTCAAAATGTAGCTGGAAGATCGTAGACTTTGGCTCGAGCCAACTTCAAATACTTGTTTATCTTCTTGTTATACGTTAAACATCATCGCAATGACTTTACTGAGTTTCAAAGATCGTTTAACAACCTTAACAGTCTCTCTCTAGAAGTTCTGTATTGTTTGTTGTTAAACACAAAACTACACAATGGGTTATCTGTACTTTGCTCTTCACGGGTATCGAAACCCGATTTTTAGCGTTATAAACTTTCAGACTAACCGCTCAGTTCACTGGGGTCATACTGGTGTCAAAAACTCACGTGGTCTCTAGTTTACTCCGCAACACTGGACCTCACATTTGCCTTCTACTGTGCTATCTGACGTCGTAAGTCATATTACTGATATGCAAAAGGAAAGACATATCGAGAAGCTGAACAGTCGTAAGGATTCAGATCCTTACCTTTTTTGATCACACGTAAAGTTTTGCCAACATGGATTACAGTCGATTGCAAGAATTAAAAGGGAGTGTTTAACGTCACGTGCAAAGACCTTCGTATCACTTTCCTTAGAAAAGATGTCGCATACATCTTTAATACTGCATTGTCGAACGGTGGAAAAATTAGATATAAGCATGTCATCGTGCCACCATGGCTTGCATCTGTATTAGGATATTCACATTGTACTTCTGATGCTAGACAATCTTCGTAGTACTAGTCCAAGAGATGTCATAATGTAAGACTGTATCAGTGGCTATAACAATTATATATACACTATATATATACACACACACAATTACTCAGATGATATACTGGGGAAAGTTATATGACGAATGAAGTACACTATCTGAATTTAACTAGTTTTTGTAGTGATTAAACTAATCATTATTATATAATGTTCGTCTAACCCTGGTATAACCTAGATTTAAGAAGGGTTTTACTGATTATGAAGTTAAGCACAAAGCTACACGATGGGCCATCTTTGCTCTGCCCACCACGGTATCGAAACCCGGATTCTAGCGTTGTAAGTCAGCGGATATACCGTTGTGAAACTGGGGGCAACTTTTTACTCGTTAAAATTACTATTATAAAGTTTTTGTCCAACACTGGAAATACTATACTGTATTACTTTGACGAAACTAAAACAGTCGGACTTGAGTTTTTTTTTATAAACTTCTACATCATACAAGCAACAGGTCTTATAAACAAATTATAATTTAAATAAAATTTGGATTATAACTTGATTTGTTATAATGAAATAAATATTGTCTGTAGCGTATCTGGTGTTTTAGACACTTATATACTGTGAGTAAACATAAGGGCTTGTATATAACACATACATACACTGCTTACTATACAACATGACAAACTTTATGTAACTGTAGGTCGTTAACATTTTAAATGTTATTGTTATTTGTATTGTAAGCAACCTTGTACACGTTACTGTAGGACGTTAAAATTTTAATGTTAGTGTTATTTGTAATGTCAGCGACCTTTTACATGTAACTGTAAGATGTTAACATTTTGAATATTAGTGTTATTTGTATTGTAAACGGCCTCGTACATATAACTGTAGGACGTTAACATTTTAAATGTTAGTGTTATTTGTGTTGTAAATGGCCTCGTACATATAATTGTAGGACGTTAACGTTTTAAATGTTACTGTTATTTGTGTTGTAAACGGCCTTGTACATATAACTGTAGGACGTTAACGTTTTAAATGTTACTGTTATTTGTGTTGTAAACGGCCTTGTACATATAACTGTAGGACGTTAACGTTTTGAATGTAAGTGTTATTTGTTTTAAGCAACCGAATATATGTAACAGTAGGACGTTAACATTTTGAATGTTGGTATATATTACAGGATCGAATGAGACCATTAGTACAGAAACTAATTAGAAATGTGTTCTACTTCTGTCTAAGGATTCTCGAGCTCTATAGTACAGAACGGAAATAAAATGGCATAGATCGAATGTTAAAACATAACATACGGCGGTAATCCGTTTTGATAAGGCAACCCTAACGTGGGCGTCCGCAAGGAGGGGGCATTCCCCCACTATCCTGTAATATGTAATATATCCTGGGGACGCCCCCCCCCATGACCTCCAAATGATATTTTATGTGTAGCGAACAGTTAGTTTACAAATCACATATCTGTCAACTACTACTATTTTCTCCTTACAGTGCATTCACAACAAACGATCCTTCTTGCGACAGTGGTTGTTACAAGAACGATGCTGTTTCCAGCATCTGCTACACGTACTTCCTGTTGAATGTCAAGGTGAAAATACAATAATGAGGTGCATATTGCACGACGCGTTAAGGTCGTTTGGAATAATCGACCCGCAACAGTAAAGCCTGGTTACACACTTAAATCATTATGTTTTCATACGCACTTTGGTGCGTTAATTAATAATTTAGAAAAATGTGGTGATGTGATTCCTCAGTAATTGTAGTGTTAAGCGTTTTTCCTTAACAAGTTGGCATAACTGTTTTAACCTGTTGTTAAGTCCACACATAATCCCTTCTCCATTTTCCATCGAGAATTTCAATTTCCAGTTTTATCATCGCATGAAATTAGCATTTTTAAAGTTCAAACTCTTAACCTTTTTTCTTTCATAAACCGCTTAATATTTGGTTTCACCCTTAACACGAAACAAGCGTAATTTCCGTTGCTTAACGCTCAGATTACCGACTTGGTTTTATACCGGTGGGGTCATATTGAGTAATTTTATATTTGTGGATGTTACAATACTCAGTAAAGAACTGACCAAAAATATGAATAAAATTACTCTCTTCTTACGTCAGTAGAAACTAGTCTGACTAATTACAATATGTATGTTTTTTATATTCTCTTTTATGACTTGTATGTTATTAGAGGCGTTGTAATGGACTCTGGAACGTTTAGAAGATGATTAAAAATTTGACTTTACCCAGAATTCAGTTAGTGTGCATTGCATATGATGCGATATTGAAACGCTGAAAAATCAGGAAAATCTAATACGTTGCTAATGGAACTTTATTACCACTGAAGTATGATTACGATGTAGTTTTAGATCACGTGGAGACGGGTTTATAACTGTCAACCATTAAACATCATGACGACAATAAGAAACTTCGCTAAGTTTCGTATCAGAAAATACATTTTCACCCTCTGAAGTAAATGGATTTCAGTACGTGTCCCAATTACAAACTTCAACAGTAAATGGATTTAAGTACGTGTCCCAATTACAAACTTCAACAGTAAATGGATTTCAGTACGTGTCCCAATTACAACTTCAACAGTAAATGGATTTCAGTACGTGTCCCAATTACAACTTCAACAGTAAATGGACTTCAGTACGTGTCCCAATTACAACTTCAACAGTAAATGGACTTCAGTACGTGTCCCAATTACAAACTTCAACAGTAAATGGATTTCAGTACGTGTCAATTACAAACTTCAACAGTAAATGGATTTCAGTACGTGTCCTAATTACAAACTTCAACATTAAATGGATTTCAGTACGTGTCCTAATTACAAACTTCAACATTAAATGGATTTCAGTACGTGTCCTAATTGCAAACTTCAATACAACTGGTGTCTAGAAAGTACGCTAACTCCGATTCACAGAAATAAGTATTATTCAGTAACGAACAGCATGATAAATAAGTCGATTAGACAAAACATATGATATGTGTTTATTAACGAAGCCAGTGAAACGTGCTCGTGGTCTCCTGCCATGAAAAACCCACGACATATTAAATTGCAATACCAACAATGCAACTAGTAGTTACAGTTACTGACTGGTGCTGTAAATTTTTCAAACAATAGATAATAATGGAAAGGGAGAAAAAACAAAAACAAACTGACAAACTGGAATACACAAAAAATGTTAGGCTTAAATTTGTTTCGAATATAAAACTAAATTTTGAATGCAAAAACTTTTTACTGGATTGTTTCATTAAATGTATGCTATAAAACGAATTGTGATTATTTATATTTTTAATAATTAAAAAGCATTTGATAACATTCAGTAAATAGATAAAGCTATTTATACAGATACGGTGTCACATCTAAACTATTTAATCCAGTCTATTAACATCAGTCAGGCTTTGGACTTTCACTGAAGATGTTTAACAACGATTAGGAACGGTCAAGTAAGCAAGTGGTCAGCTATCTTTGGACACAGATTCACCTTAAACGTTTTTATAGTGACCCTTCTATTTCAAAAGTAAATAAACGAGATTGTGGTAAAGTTTGTTTACTTTCAATATCTGTCAATATGCTACATTAGGGATAAAAATGGTGCGAGTCACAGACATCTCTCCGTGTTCATGTACGTACATGGACGTTAGTTAATTTTAAGAAATCTATAAATATTAATCAATCAAAACGATGTCAAAATATTAGAAAACAATTACCCATCTTTGAAATGAAAAAAAAAGAGAGTAAATTAAGTAAAACTTAAACACGTTCACAGCGTGCCACTAAATTATGACGATCTTCAGTCAATATGGTAGTTCTTGGTGAAAGTAGTTCATCTAATACAATGAGGGACACGATCTAATTTGCTGAACTCTTCTTGTTCGTCCGACGTGGTTGATAATTAAAATCCAATTTTATAATTTAAACTTTAGAATACTGACATAGTTTTTCAGTTACAAATATCTGATGTCTATAGACAACAACATAGTTCAACAATGTCGTGTTACTACGAGTTTAACATCGCCAGTCTTTGTCAATTAAAATATCGAGGTCATAACAGTCAACAGGATCACATAAAGTTATCTGTGAGCTTGTCCGTGTATGCAAACAACAGTTGATTGCGTGTCCAATGCTATGACAAATAACAACAGAATCTGAATTCAAATGTATATTCCTTGGTAAGAATAAAAGGACCAGTAGTAGGCCCCAAAGAGCGGGCCTAAAAAAAAAAACTCGCAAAACTCATTTGACGGGCGCTTTCGAGCGGCGGCGTGATGGCGCCTGCTACACGTGAAGGGTTGTAAATCGCGTAATTATTAACCACTTTGTGTTAAGTAGAAAGAGTGAGAGATTAAATAAAGCAACAGTGCCAGACAAGGTTTCCCCCAAACATTTGGAGGAAGATAAGATCAGATATCCCACTTGTGGTAGGTCCCTAGGGAATTGGATAATTTTTAGTATTGTTCCTGCTTTCAGAGAGGGTGTTAAAAGTTGAAATGAAAATTATGGACCAGTTAGACTTACTTATGCAGTGTTGAAAGTACTAGAGCTTAAGTTGTTGTTTGTTATTACGCACAAAGTTACATATAGGGCTATCTGTGCTCTGCCCATCACGGGTATCGAAACTTGGTTTCTAGCAGTACAAGTCCGCAGACATACCGCTGTGCCACTAGGGGCACTAGAGATTAAGAGGGGAAGAAATGATGTCATGAAAAATAAAGGGTGTATTTAAATGTTTACTCTTCTAACGGCTAGATACGCAAGGAGAACAAACCTTGAAGGTTCAAACGGTCACTTACTGTTCGTACGTTATGTTAAGAACTGGAGAATATAGAGGTAGCTAAAAAATGTTGTTTTTTTTTATTATTATGTGCAAAAATCAACCTATTTACTACATTTATATTCAATAATATTGAAGGAATCACATACAAAATCAATGTGTAATTATTTAAATCTACTATATTAAACCTGATAATAGCACGTTTCTCCAACATCATTGATTCCAAATCCTTGCAGTTTCCCTACCGTAATGATGGTGGTTTATGTTCAATGTGTTTAAAAACAAAATGATTAATAGTAAATAATTCAGAATGAGGATGGTAAGTTGCGCAATTAAAAAAAATCATAACATTTCTAACCACATCTTTCTTCTACTTGATGTTCGACATTATGCTATCTCACACACCTTTTGCCAACTGAGTCAATGCTTACCAAAGTGGGGGCCGTGAAGTTTTTCTGTGTGTGTGTAGGGTGGGGGGGTATCGAAACCCGGTGTTTAGCTTACGAGTCCATAGACTTACCAATGAGCCCCTTGGTGGGGGGGGGGGCAAAAAAATGGGCGCCGTGCAGCTTTTTCTTGGTGGGGGGCAAATATGGTCCGAAAACCAAAGATGCTGAATTAATTTTAATTTTAAATAACAATAAGCCAAAAAAATATTATGTCGAATTAATTAAATGATACAGTATGTTGAAAAGAAATATTATTGTTTTTATTATGGCACTGTTTTTCAATCAACATGCTAAAGTTATAGGGTGGGGGGCCTCAAAGGTTTTTATTCACATCAAGGGAGCCTTAGACTAAAAGAGTTTGGGAACCACTGTACTAAATGACATTCGAAATAACTGATTTGCCTCTACTAAATGATTTTTGTACTTACTGATAATTGACGCTATGATTTGCCTCTACTAAATGATTTTTGTACATACTGATAATTGACGCTATGATTTGCCTCTACTAAATGATTTTTGTACTTACTGATAATTGACGCTATGATTTTCTCCTACTAAATGATTTTTGTACATATTGATAATTGACGCTATGATTTGCCTCTACTAAATGATTTTTGTACATTTTTGTACGCTATGATTTGCTCCTAAGTCTCTCTCTATTTGGTACTATTTGAAATTATTCTTTGTAAGAAGTATTCCCTAGCAGTCCTTAGGCTTTATAGATATGATCAGTGGAAAATAACTGGGAACCATTGAAGAAAACCTCTTTTTTACCAACTTGGTGATATTCGATATCATGGTGTTGATCATGCTAAATATTTTTCCACCAATGATATTCAACATTATGCTGGTGCTCCTACTAAAGCCTTTTTCTTAGTTGATTCTATCTGACATAACGCTATTGCTTCTGCTGTAGGCTTCTTTCGTTTTATTCAATATTACGCTGCTACTCGTACTTATGCCTTCTTTCTCTTTGGTTTGATTCAACATTACGCTGCTACTCGTATTTATGCCTTCTTTCTCTTTGGTTCTATTCAACATTACGCTGCTACTCGTACTTATGCCTTACCTTTCTTCTTTGGTTTTATTCTAACATTACG